TCTGCAGGGGTAGCGCTGATGCCTTGGAAGTCATATTGATGAGTTGAACAGAGATTTGTGTTGCGCTGATGAGCGCTGGACTCAGGGGAACTTTGAAACACTTTGTAATCATATTTCTGATAATATAAGCTGTGAAACTCGGTCCTCTTCTTCTCTACCTTTGTCTATGGTTGAGACTATTGATCACTGTGTGTGAAGATGATGCATGACATGTACACATCTGCGTGAGATGGTCCCCAGGACCCATGGAGTGTGCTATGAGGGGTGGATGAATAGAAGGGCCGATGAATGGTTTAGCAAACGAGTTAGGGGATGGATGGACAATTAATGTGCAGAGGACTTAAGTGAGTCAATTGATTAGTGATTTCGGGTAGGTTGTTAATGTTTGTGTTTTTTCAGTACTTGATGTCATCAGGTCCCTAGTGCCTTGCCAATGTGTTACTGCCCCCTTGCCCAAATGTTATTGTGTCCATCTGACTCCATCAGGATTTCAGCTCATGATCTGTTTATCGACAACTAAATGTGTGTACCATTCTGTTACTCTTATGAACCACAGCTGTTTTTTTTGCTTTCGTCCACTTTTCTGACTGACTTTGCTGGTATAACTTGCAGCTTCGAGGATGCGATCTATCAACATCAAATCCACGAGGACTTCTGGAACTTAGGCCATGCCTAGAAAGGCTGCTCTGCTATGACTCAGCGGTAAGGCCAGAAAAACATTCTTCAGATTGCGGAAAATAAAATGTTTGCAGGAACAAATCTCTCGATCAGCACCATTTGCTGCTGCACTTCTTTTTCTGTTTGCAGGTGCTATCGATCTTTCTGGATGGTCATGTGTGTGGTGCTGTCGATGCTTACCCTGAACAAATAGGGATGTGTATCTTGTTAAAATTTGACCTTAGAGCAGAAGGTCATAAGGGTGCAGGATGGAAGGGCATTGGGCAACCAAAATGGGTCCAGAATGAAGATACAGTGGAGGCTAGCAAGCCCAGAGGCCAAGCAGTCCTCTACATTGGTTGAAATGGGGTCAGCAAATCCCACAACAATACTCGAGCGGTGAAGGCCCGACATTACAAACAATGGAGGCACAGGCAAAGAGCAGAAGGAAGGGAGGATTTTCCTTCCATAGACTCTAGGTGATCACGTCCAACTGAGAGGCTCAGTTACCGAGTCTGAGAGGAATCTTATTAGAAAGGCAAGCTGGAAGTCAATCCTCGATGGAAATAGAGTAATCAATGCTGTCCAGGGATGCTTCGGCCAATTGAAGGGTGTGTGAGTGAGTTCAGTGAATGTAATTTCACGACTTGCCCCCCAGAATGGAAAAGGGACAGGATCAGAAGTTTCAAAAAAAGAAAACAAAGCCGACTTCAAGAAGAGAGTATTATAAGGAGAGCAGAACATAGCTTATCGTCCGGAAGCAGAAATCAGAGAGCTAGAAATTGATCCAGCCGAATGACCATGGAATAAGGAGATTATGGACCGGAAGCAGAAATTAGAGAGCTGGAAATTAACCCAGCCGAATGGCCATGGAAAATGCAGTCCGAGGAATCTAGTGTTGGTAAGCAGCACAGCTAATACAGCTCCAAACTAGGTTATGGGGTAAGAAAGAAGCAACTTTTCAGTGCTCGCGAACCACCTCGGCTGGCCCCAAGAAACCCCAATCACTCAGGGAAATATTTGAAAAAGCTGGGAGAAAGAAGCCTCTGTCAGTTATTCCAGATAGGCTTCCGTGGGACTGCATCATGGGAACAGGATCAGTTGAACCACCAGTACCTCACCCAGCTATTGAAACCAAGCCTGAAAATGCCCTCTGCGGCGTGCGCCAAAAAAAAATGAGCCGGCGCAGGCTTCATTTTGGCTGGCTCCGCCAACCATTTTGGTGTGGTGCCCCGACCCCCGAATGTTGCGGCCGTAAACGAGCGGCATATTTGTTTTTCAAGCAGGTAAAGGTATTGGTGGTGTAAGCTTCCCAGTGGTATATGGTTAATTCTCTACCCAGAGGTTCGAGTTGATGACTGGCTAAACCAGAGGAGGAGGGGGGGGAATTAAATGGGTCAGAATAGGCGGTGTAGTGTAAAGTGTGCAACCTGCAGGTGAAGGTAATGCTTCTTCATTGTTTCGTGCTGCAAGGAAGCGAAGAAACTTTGCCACAAAGTAGAAATGACTTGGTCCTCGAATAAGGGCAGAGATGTGAACAACCGTACTAGTAGGGAGTATTGAGGAATGCAGCCCTTTACCGTTCGGAACTTTTCATATCAAATCCTTCAGGAAAGGCACACTCTGGCAATTCTAGAAACGAAGATGCCAAACGAGTTGAGAGGGGCAGAAACCACAGAGCCCGCAGAGTAGATCCCTATTAATTGAGAGTAAACTAACAGTTGAGACACAAATTACAGCCTGTTGGTGGAGAATTAGAGACCAGTTGAAGAAGAACCGGGATAAGCAATTAACACTAAGGTCCTAAGGAGATATTTTGCTAAGTCCAAAGACTCTAAAGGGTCTAAACAAAACATAAAAAAGGTAAGCTAGCAGGGGACAGGATCCGCCGCAAAAACTTGATGATCACACCATTGAGGAGTAGGATTTCGGAAGACACTGAGCCTGAGAACTTTACAGCTGTGGAGAACTCGGAGAACGAGCAGAGAGAGGGAGCAGAACAAACAGTCTAACCCAGTTGCAAATGGAGTACTAGATGAATCAGAAGTATTGCAGCGATCAGCAGCAAGGTAGACTATTGGGAGTGGTCCGCTGCATTTCACTGTGACTATCTGCTTTATGGGACACACGAGTTTTTGCATCTTTCTGTTGTTCACCTTCATATGGGTTGTATATTAGTGCCCCCAACCTTTGGTATGAATCTTTTGTTAGTATATTTTCCTTGTTTTTGCTTCGTAGGAAAAGCCGTCACTCAGGCATTTTATCTTTTCGCACCTCAGCGAGGGCATGTTTCTGAATTTGTTTTCCAACGTGTGTTTTTGGATTAAAGGCCCCACCCATCTAATCCCATTGCCTTTTTCATTTTGATTTCTTGAGTTCTGCTTTGCACTTGCACGACGTCTTGCTAACTCGCTTTGTCTGCTTGCCGTGCCTTTATCCTTCTTGCACATTGTCTTTTTCTTGTTATCATGCAAAACTTTAACTGTTTTCTCTTCCCTCCCTCTCTCCCTCCCTCCCTCCCTCCCTCCCTCTCTCTATCTATATATACTCCGACGAAACAGTTTGTCACAGCCCCTCGTTTGTTGTCCTCTTCTCTCTCTCTGCCTACGGTTTACCGGGCAGTTCTGTTTGTGACGATATATATCCCATTGCTTTTTTCATTTTGATTTCTTGAGTTCTGCTTTGCACTTGCATGACGTCTTGCTAACTCGCTTTGTCTACT